AATACACTCCGACATTGGGTAACAGCACCTAAACAACTAGTAACAGCAGTCGGAACAGTAGCACAGACGATCCTTAGAGACCTACGCAAACAAGTGCACACCATAGGAAATGGGAGGTAAGAATGGACACAGTCGTGAGTCATCCAAGTGAAACTTCTATTGCGTGATTACCATTCCCTTGGTAGCCTCTGCGACGGTTGCAAAAAACTACACTTCACGGTTGGGAGGCACACCTCATCAGGGTAGATAAATAACAAGCATACAAGTGATATACATAATCAGGGGCCTTTGAACACTGATGCATACCAATGCCATTGCATAGTTTTCTTTCTTACATTAGTGAGTAAGCCTCGTTATTCAAACTCTTTGGTAAATGGTAAATCATGCTTCCATGATCACCTCCAGACTTGATTATTATCTATACTCCCAATTTCCTTTCTTGCGAGTGTTCAGACAAATCAGCGTCAGCGCTTTGACGATAGCTGACTTGTTCACAATGATCAAGGAAATTTATGGTGAATGCGAAACAAGGAAGTGTAAAGGAAACATTTTGATTTGCCTAGATGAGCAAAGTGCTAATTTCAGCATCAAATGATATCGAATCGCATTTCCGATTGTAGATCAATGATGCTATTTGAAGACCTCTGTGGTCAAACCATTCTTGGTAATGTATCCCGCTATAACGTTTGATTCACCACACTGTGTGGCAAGGTCTGCATAACTATCCTCACGCTGTAGAGTGTTTGCAAAATATCAAGTGTTAGATGTTAAATGTTTGTTGAGCTTCGGGCTCGATACTCCTTAAAGAATGGCGAAACAATGGGTTATGGTTTAATATACTTCAGTGGTGCCGCCAACCCAAGCATTCGGAACGACTCTTATTTATCAACTTTAAATTCTACCAAATTTACACATCTTCAATATTTTGATTTCCCAACTTACAAGTGATTTTTGCTCAAACGCTCCTCTTCTAACCTTTTAGGGATTTGCGCTACCGGATAGTCCCTCCTTATTAGCTCATATGAGGTAGAAGTATGCTCGAAGTATGTAGGTAACCACTCAGAGGCCACGGTCAGTCAGACATTATAAACATGCGCAAATAAAAAAATCTAGCCTCAGCAACATTGTCAACCATTTAGAGACTCAATCGGTTAGTAGATCAGCCGCCGGACCTATGGATGCACCTGGTGCCCCTCATTACGCAATCACGCACTCTGGTAATAGGAGAATGCTTTCAGATGCTGACGGATACGGATATGAGTGCAGATGGCAAACGTCGAGGAGGACTTTGCATTCTGTGCACAGTCATGTGACTACACGATGTGGGAAAGGAACGGCAACTGCTCCCGCAATGCGTCGTTCATATGTAAATATGCATGATAGGCCAACAAGGTAATCGTTTTCACTACTCGGAATAGTCGCGACACACCAGTGTGGCTCCCTGTCTTTAGCTATCGAGACACCTGCCGTCTACTGCCCACAGTCCTCCTTTTGTAACGAAGTTTGGTAAATTGGGGAGCCAGAGTAGTCTCCGTCGTCCCTTTGGTCATGGTTGCGTCTATCATTGACATTCCGAAGTGTTTTATCTTTGATAACTTATTACTGGCCTAAAGCGGTTGTTTTAGCGATGTAGACAACGGATCCCACTTTCATCTTAAGTCCTTCTGTGTGGTGTAGTTGATGTCAATGGGTGAATTCGTGCAGTACAGTTGGTTGTATATTCGTCATGACTTACTGCAAGCTTTTGATTAAACCGTGGTATGCCAGGTTTCATAAATGTGCAAGTGTCATTCCTGAACATCTTCCCCCACAAGATAGGGGCTTTGTGCATCTACCCACCATGGTTAGCTCGAGAAGGACACCTTACTGATTGATAGCCAAATGTAAGCACTATGGAAGAGAACTCACTGGTCATCTTTTAAGACCTAACGAGAAATCAGGACACTTAGCAAAGTTTTCCCGTCCCTAGGCTAACCAGTGCGGACCTCATAAGCTGAAATCCCTCTTAACGTGTGAAAACATTTAAGTCGTTGGACACTACCCAAGCAAAAGATATCCAATTAGCAATACAAAGGCGTTGACCATCTCACAGATGCCCAAGATAGCTAGGTATATAAAGTACAAAAAATACGGACATTTCCCCGCAATCGAATAACAGTGAAATCAATTGCTAATGAATATGCGTTTTATTTAACAAATTTTACAAACCAGTTCGAGGTCTAAGCCTCACGAAGTAGAAACATTTATCGTAGATTTCAGCAAAATCTATGCAAAACTTGGAAATATGGGCACGATAAGCTATGATAGGAAGGTCACTTGCTGGTAGTGAGTCTACGTAGAGAAGAGAGTTATGAGACATAATCCGACAAGTGCAATCTTCGAACAATTGAAGGATATCTGAACGAAGGGGATGGTGAAAAATGTGCGCCGACACATGAATTTTATCGACTCCCCGAAATGGAAAGTGAATTGAACAATAACT